ACCCCTGGGGGAAGGACTGAATACCGCCCCTGACACTGAGTCTGGGAGAAGAGTATGGAATTCTCAGAAAACTAGGTTCATTGAAAACTCTCAGCTGATCGTCATTCCAGACCGATTGCTGCGAGCGAATATGCGGCCTTCGCGCGTCTTGTCAAAGGTGAAACTTAGCTTGGGAAGTGAGTAGCTCGCCATATCCATTAGATGGTATACGTGCGTGAAAAAAATGGATGAATTAAGTGACAGAAAAGGATTCCAAACTAGGCGAGCGATCACGACTACAACGTACAATAATAGAACAAGGCGGCTCAGAAATTAACAACAACAAATGATGAAAACGACACCTACACGGTTGGTTCTCCAAATACTCCAATGATCTTGGGTTGTTCTATAATCACGACAGAGTCCTCCAAGTATTCAGCACCTGTTTGGGAGGACACCATGTAATACTCATCTGAAAGAATTCAGTAAACGGTTGACTTTCTTAAGCTTACAGTCGATATCCGAAAGTTGGGGTAGGCGTGTCACCGGAAGTGACGTGCACTTGATAGAAGTTGCGTGGATAAGCTGTTGCCAGCATGCTTTGCTGATATCCAGCGATGTATGTTGGAAGCAGCTTATCCACATAGCTTCTATCAAGTTCCGGTGACACGCCTACCCCAACTCTCGGATATCGAGTATATGTATCATATCATTACCAAGGTTTGCAAAACAGGGTTGGGACAGAGCGGCTTTAACCGCTTTCAGCCAATAATTCACGGAAACTAAGGCTGGTGTCAGAGTCCGCGATCCGTCGCAGGTTTTAAGTTTCGCGCGATTCGCGCGATTTACGCGTTTCAAGTATTCGATGGGGCACTTGCAATTTTTGCGATTTTTGCGAGCGCAAAATTGATAGTACTCCAGAACATTTGAAACACTGAATATGAAACAAGTGGAATCATGAGCAGTCGTCATTCAGCCATCACTATCAAGCAGAAGTGGCGGCAGGATTGGAGAACACCTTGCAGTATTGATCGGGCACTTGTGATTTCCGTGACCCGTCGCGTGAATCGCAATCGCGTGAATCGCGCAAATCGCAGCGAAACCTGCGCTTCGCGGCGAACGCATCGTTTTGTACTCCTTCTGACTAGTAAAGGACGCCATTCGTTACGGGTCCCACTGCCTCCTGCTACAGTGAACCCTTCAATGTGGAGCGGGGAATCCGTGAGCCAGGGGCAGTGTCGCCAGTCTAGGGGGGTGGGGGGTGAGGGCAGTCACTTGACATGCGTGAGAAGCTGGAATGTTCGAATTCAACCGCGATCACATGGGATCCCCGCGGGTTAAGGCAGTGGGTCCGCAACGAATGGCGCCCTATACTAGTCAGTAGGAGTACAAAATGATCACTCATCGCGGCTCTACAACAGCTAAAAGCTTGTCGTGTCTTAGGGATAGTTGCATGCTGCGTAGTGGTACGTACAGTCACAAAGTGTGGGTAGCAGCATTCGTTGAGTTTTGAATTGAATAGAAGCTCTAACGTTTCTTTGAAACACACATACAGGAAATAGTGCTGGAGGATTTTGTGCAAGTGTGAGTACAGTAAGACTGCGGACCATATCGTATACCATATAAAATCGATAGCAATGAAAATTGGAACAATGTGCCCTCATTAATGTTTACTCATTTTCTTTGCATTTATGGCGTGTGTAGTATCCATTACTGTTAATCCTTTTCGAATAAGAAATTTTTGAAATTCTTACCATTGCTTCTAGCTCCATCATTTTTGTAGCTGTCAGCAGCTGTTGGTAACATCCTTAAGAAACAAAGATCATTTAAATCCAACAGAAAATGCCAGTGAATGTTGTGTTGTTCGATGTTCGATCAAACCGGAGAAAATCAAGCATACACTAACGTCGCTTCATAATTTGAGTTTCTCTCACCCATTGCAGCTTGGTCCTGCACTGCCTGAAAAACAGGGAGTGTTCTTTTCCCACAATCACTGCAAACTAGGAAATAAGTGAATCAACATATCAGACACCCTTTCCATGGTAACACAAAAAGGAACAATTCTTTTAGAATCTCTGCTACACTGCTCGACGAATATTAATTCTTTGCAAATAAGCTTTTCTCAACGATTTGAGATGAATAGCCTGATAGATAGATAGTACATTGCTTACTTCTAATGTAATGCCTTCCATAGCAGGCTGTGGCTCGACAATTTCTCCAGTAGGCGTAATCACACGCAATTCTGATCCCTGCTCTATAGACGCCACCTGGAAAGGTAACCATTGGAAAATGTGTAGCATTCTTCTGGATCTCTGAGAAATCCTGGAAGGAAAGAAACACGGACCATAGGTGTTGCAGACTGCGGATTGTTTTCAAAGGTCACATCATTCCGTGATGTGTCCGCAATGGAACGGTTGTGGTGACTTTCCCTAGGAAAAAACTTATCGGTTTCGATTTGGAGTTATCTCACTGAAAACATCAAAGAATGATCTCCGATAATACAAATTTACTATACAAAATAACTTAAGCTGAATCATCTCGCTAGGAATACAAGAGAATAAATTGATACTGATGAATAAGGATCGTAACAAGGAGTGGACTACCGAAAAAATCTGAAACAACATTATCCGAAGAATCCACAGTAATTGTAGGCACCAGTTTGAAAGGGGGAGGAGGTTGGGGCATCGCAACACTGTAGTCCGTCCCGATAAGGCAGAGATGGTGTCAGAGTCCGCGATCCGTCGCGCGATTCGCGCGAATTGCGCGACGGATCACAGAAATCACAAGTGCCCCGATCAATACTGCAAGGTGCTCTCCAATCCCGCCGCCATTTCTGCTTGATGGTGATGGTTGAATGACGACTGTTCATGATTCCACTTGTTCATATTCAGTGTTGCAAAAGAGGCACTTGGGGTTTTTGCGATGGTCCGGCAAGAGAAGGTAATTAAATGGGAATGAAAATAGAAATGTTTATCATGTTTGAGTCAGTTGTTCTGTGAGTTACTTTGCCACAGTGCCCACTTCGCTACCCTTAGACCTAATTGTCCAGTCCCGGTATAAGGTTTTAGATATGAGTTGATTGAGTCAACGTGTGATGCAATCTTACGAGGTAAGCAAACCAGCCCTTTTGGCGTTTCGGCTGGGACCGTATGCTGAATGTTGGGGAGGGGATGGGGTCCCCAACGGTCGACGGTTTACTTCAACTCGGTTGGTACGATAGGAGAGTACTGACGCAAGTGGTGCAGCTGGTCCAGCAGCTCCGCCAGAAGGGCTGGTTTGCTCACCCCAGGACTAAGCCTTGGAGAGGGGACGGACCCGTCCTCTCTTTAAGGCTTAGTTCTGAGGTAAGCACCAAATTGTGGCGGTTCTAAGGACCGAGTTGAAGTGGTCCGTCCACCGTCGGGGACTCCATCCCCTCCCCAACATTCAGCATACGGTCCCAGCCGAAGCGCCAAAAGGGCTGGTTTGCTTACGTCCAATTCTTACGAGTCCATAGTAACTGGTTTGGCGAATGCAAATCTCGAAGGATAAATTGGTGTCAATACTCTCAATATATATGGGAAAGGCCTGAGCATGCAATGCAATAGGTTGGAAATACTCATACCACTTCAGAGCCTCGGATTCCGTATGGTCCGACCCTTCGGAGTTGGCAAAACCGGCTTTTCCGCATCGTCACTTTGGACGCTCTTCAGATGATCCATCTGAATTTCTTCACAGAATAGTGAGTAAAAATGGGACATCAGCTACTCAACTGTACTTTAATATGTTCAAAATCAATAAATGAACAAAACGCAACGAGGAAGGATTAAACTCAGCGCTCTAACCAGCAATACCCTAAGCAGAGCAATTCACGTCCTTTTAGCGCCAATTGAATTTTACGATGAATTCATAGCCTATACCTTCTGTTGTTCGTAATAACTTCGTATAGCAACTGAAGCTGCCCAACCTCAACCTGTCCACGCTGTGCACTATAGAAATTTATCTCCACCTGTCTGATGCTGACCGTCGCTGTGCTGAAACTTGAAAGACTGAGTTTTCGACGAGGATTATCCGAAAATTATAGTTGTACTGTGACAGCAGAACAAGTACTTACCTCATCATCAATATGAATATGAGCAGTATCGCCTTCTCCTTGCAGATTTTCCATGTCACTTTCCAAGGGTAATTGTGAAGACGGAGTCTCTTCCTCCACCGGAAACTTACGATATTTCACAATTATATTTTCATAAGAAGAGAAGACTACAAAGTCTTACAACTTAGCATAGTTACTTACCGAATCATCTTCCTGAAGTTCGTATTCACATTGTGGAGGAGGTTCTGTCTTCTTATTGCAGTGTAGCCACGTGAAAGGATTCAACAATTTGGCAACTCCGGAGAACAGCGACATGGCCTCGAGACTGAAGGAAGGGTGATAGCAGGCGGCAGTGGTGTCACGAGACGAACTGTAGAGATAACTCGTAGGATTATTTACGATGAAATTGTGGAGACCTCTACAGCAAATACGACCCAGAATACGCCAGTCTTACAAAATCTTTCGCGCCGCTTTCAAAAAAGACGTGGCAGGAATCGTGTGGACGCGTTGCTCTCGTTAACACTAGTCATCTCAGGCTGAGCTCTTCATTCATATGGCGCACGTTCGACGAACGATAGGGTGATGTCAGAGTCCACGATCTGTCGTGCGATTCGCGCGAATCGCAAAAATCGCAAGTGCCCCATTTGAAAAAACTGAATATGAAACAAGTAGAATCATGAACAGTCGTCATTCAACCATCACCATCAAGCAGAAATGGCGGCGGGATTGGAGAGCACCTCGCAGTATTGATCGGGCACTTGTGATTTCTGTGATCCGTCGCGCGATTCGCGCGAATCGCGCGACGGATCGCGGACTCTGACACCAGCCATGTGTCCCCAATGCTGTGCGATCGTTACGATCGGACGACCGAGTATGAATGCGCTAATGGGCAGCATTCGACGCTGGTGTCGTTGATCGCAGCATTGTTGTGCGGGCTGACTCTAGGAAAGGAAAAACTGCTTACACACCTCTTCTCAACGTCCCCCTAATGATAAGTTCAAAGGGGACTAGGAGAGAGAGGGGAGAGGTTGTTGGCTGTATGGGCTCCGCATAATGATGCCCAACAAGCGCCTGGATTCATCGCGCTACCGCCGAATGCGGTAGCGCGACGAATCCAGGCGCTTCGCGGAATTAGTGGGATTTCAAAGTCCGGTGAGTAACCGCAACC